CTGAAAATTAGATCGCTTAAGTGACCTAAGATAGCTTAAGCGATCGGCTGTTATCTACAGATAACAACCGATCACTTAAACGATCTTAGGTCGCTTAAGCGATCTGATCTTATTTGTAGATTGCTTGCTTTCTTGCTACTGATCAATTCGAACCTTATTTTTTGGATCTACATATGATCGATTCTGGCAATTGCTTCTCTTGTGGCCAGAATGCTTGTAAATTGAGCATTTATTCATCCTCCGGAGAACCTCACAGGCTGATGGAATACGCTTAACTCTTTTTCTCCCATTTTCTATCTTCTTGAATGGCGGATGGATGATAATGTTAACCAACTCTACCAGCACCACCCATTGCTCTTCTAGAGGAACTGAATATATCGTTTCTGAATAAGCCAGCGTGTAGTGATTTTCCATATAGAGAGGGGAGAAAAGTTCCAAGTAAATTCTTGAACCAAAATCCGGCTTTTATTGGTGTTTCAGTGCTGCTAGTGCATGAGGACAAGGTAAACGTTGAATGTCAAGCACTTTACAACTCCAAGTTTTACTAAGAAGGTTAACTAGGGCATTCGGACCATAGCCACGCACGATGAACTCTTGAGCATTAAGAGGATAGGCAAACAGTGTCTTTGACAGTTCCATACATTCTCACAATAATTTTTTAGCTGACGGAATAAGGGTTGTGGTAAAATTATCTGACTTCGTACAACGGTCATGGAACCACTGTGACAATGTTCTCTGGATTGCATTAAAAAGGGAAACTATTGGAAACTTTCTTTCTATTAACAACTTTGAATTTATGGACTCGGCTATATTCGTGGTCATGACATCAAACCTTCTTCCAGGAAAGTAAGCTTTACTCCATCGCTCGAAACCAACATCATGCTCAAGATACTTAGCAGTTCTATCATCCTTGATTCGGATTTTCCGGAAATGCTCCTCGAACTCATCAACTTGATAAGCTTTTGGTGTCATGTAGTATGTCTGAAGGAGGCCAGCACACTTAAACTTTTGTTTTATGTTCTCACTAAAATGCCTCATACATAATCCGTGATGTGCTTCAGGGTAAATAGTGGTAATCATCTTCTTTATAGAGTTTTGCCTATCAGATATTGTGCACAACTCGTTACTATCAGACACTATCATAGGTAATTACTGAAAAAACCAAGTCCATGACTTGTTGTTCTCAGAGTCAACCACTTACTATGCAACGGGATATGTGTGATTCTCGTTGTCCTGTGCAGTGGCCACCAACAATGTACCTTCATACTTTCCTGTCAAAATGCAACCATCAACAGCCAACACCTTTCTCATGTTTACAAAACCCCTTCTAGCAACATCGTAAGCAACAAAAAAATAATTAAACCTCATATTCTTGTCCCACTTCAAAGCCGTCTTGCTACCTTGGTTTGTCAACTCAAGCATATAACGGTATGCTTCTAATACTGCATACTCGTGCTCTGGCGTGCCCTTCTCAAAATCTTGTACATGTTGTCTCCCTTTCCAGCATTTCTAGTATTTCTAGTAACTAACAACGCATCCCAACTCTGTACACACAAGTCTCTGAATGTCCTTAGGATATAGACCTTTCCCTTCAACAAACTAACTTTTGACAAATTGTCCAATAACATTAGCAGAGGCTTGTCGATGCTCACTTGAAATATGTCCCAACCCACATGTGTGCTCACAGGTATATGTGCTAACAATAAATTTTTTGGACTCCACCAACTTTCTACAATAAACCCACCACTTGCACTTTCAGTCAAGACATGCAACCGTCACTACCGATGAATTAGACTTTTTGGTGATGAACTCAAAATTACCTCTCACGGCAACAAGTTTTATCTTCCTTGCCACTTCCTCTTTGTTGTCAAATAAATACCCTACGCGCAAGTCTAATCCATCAGCAAAAACATGAGCTGATTCACTACTACCTAAATTGCCGCTTCTGAACCTGCATAAAGAACCATAGTGTTCTCTTCCTCACAAACTACACATTTACATAATATGTATTTAAAGGAATCTCTACATCTACGGGAACATGTACGAGGTCCTCCTCGTCAAAATTTTCATTCTATTGTATATGACCAATCTCTTCTACAGTGTCCTCCTCACCACCCAAATCACCACCTACTATTGATTTTTCAACTAAGAAATCAATGCCCTCATAGTTCAAATTAAAACCAGCATTCTCTCCACCAACTTTCTTGTTATCCCTTTCCTTTGAACCAACTTCCAACGGTTTATCTACAAAAGAAACCCTTAAAATCGATCTCGAACTATTATCAGCCACATCAATCATATATAACTTCACACCTTCATCTGACTTTAATATATCAGGAAATACCTTATAATGTTTAGGAACTTTGCTTAAAACATACTTCACAACTATACAACCACGTGAGCAACTCAAATCACTTCTTCTAATTATTTCATCAATCAACTCATCAAAACTAACCTCTGTGCTCACAGCAATTGGTATAACTTCTTTGCTCTTCCTAATCCACTTCCATCAACTTTCTTCCTCCACCCACTCACCAACCAAAATATTCAACACCCAAAACAACTTGTCCCATGTCTAACAATAGCCAAGTACCTATAATGCAAGAAAAAAAAAATTATTAACTGATGTATTAAGGGTTGACAGATTTTAAAAAGCATCTACAGAGTCGCTTGAGCGATCTGGTTTATCGCTTAAGCGATTTGGTATATCGTTTACTGGATAGCTTAAGCGATCCAATAGATCGCTTCTGGTATAAATAAGTCTGATCGCTTAAGCAATCTTCTACCATTTACCTGCTCGCTTAAGCGATCTCCTACCATATACTAGACTTATAGTTGATAGCTTAAGCGATCTTCTGTCATATACCTGATCGCTTAAGCGATCTACGATCTGCTACATTATACCAGACATATCAGATTGCTTAAGCGATACACCAAATCGCTTAAGCGATCCATCATATCCAGAACACATTTTCAGTCATCTCCACCTACAATCGGTGCTACCACTCCCATCTGCCCACAATGCAAGAAAATATTCAACAAATTTCACTCCTTTCAACTTGCATTACATCAAACACAAACTAACAACCTAAACAACTAAATCAAAATCATAACTCAAACCTAATCCATCATTAAATCTTTGTAAATCAAGATGTGAAATGGAAAAGGGGAGATGCACATACCTGGACGAAATGTCAGAAGGAGGAGGATCTATGGCAGAGGAAGAAGATGGTGTTAATGGCTGGAAGAAGAATATGTATAGCAAGGAGGAAGAAGAAGAAGATGTAGATGAAGCTTAGAATAAACAGCAACTAGGGGAGAGATGCGTTAATGGCGGGAGGAAGAAGAATAAGATGTTATGTTTGGGTTTGTTTACAAGAATTTCAGGTTTTTAGGGACATATTTTAATTTTTAAAAGATTACACAATACTTTATTAATCCTAATTAAGCCATGATTAGTGTTTAATTGTTATTAGTTTGTCTTAATAAAAAATAAGGTTAGTTAGTCAAGACTAAAAAACTACATGGTCTTTTAGTTAAATTCAAGGCCAATATGGCCTTTTAATCATTTGCCTCCTTCTGACATTAACTAGCAACTTCTAGTGCTTAATTTGATGAATTGGATGCGTGGATCAGCCGCCATTTATCATGTCATCTTTCTTACACTCTTAATCTTCTCTTGACATGTTTAGGGTTGTTTTATCCATCATGTTTGATCTTTGCTTCAAAGACGGGTTAAATATCACCTAACAGGTTAGTTTTTTAATTTGATAGTGAGCATGAGTTTGGTGACAACTTAACATCACACAAGGAGTGACAAATTATAGCAATGAGATGGAGGAAATTTAACTCCCTAGACATCCCAAGTTTGGACTTAAAAAAATAACCTTGAAAATCGGAGGCTTTTTTTTAAAATTTAAAAATATGACGTGGCACACTTAATTGTAATTAAACATGCAAAAAGGGGCTAGAGTGAAAAGATTGAAATGTATATGGGTAATAGTATAATTAATGGAAATTTGTTTAAATTTTGAAAATTAAAAAACGATCCCCTCCCTTCAAAATCACTTAATCGAGCAGTATACCGAAAAAATGACCGACGAAACACCTTCCATTTCTTTGCGATTTTCTGCGATAAAAGTTTTCTATTTCCGGCCAATATTCGATCCTAAAGATTCGTTACACAAAATCATGGCTGATATTCACAAAGAGGAGGAAAACCCAACCCCACTCCAAATCCTAGACTCTGGAAGTGGCGGCTGTTCAAAGGTTGTCGAAGAAGACACTCCGGTGGATCATCCAATTAGTGAAGGTGGTCCAGAGGCAGAGGGGACAATGGTGGCATAAGAACAGAGAGGAGAATCGGAAAATAGTTCTGAAGAGGAGGATGCCGACGAGAATTCAGGAGAGGGGGAGGACGCCGGCGAAGAAAATGTACATATTTTACTGGTGCTTTTGAATTTGATGAAAAAATTGATTGGTTTGTGCGAATTTGGGGGTTATGTAGTTGGTTTTGATTGTCAGGTGGTTGTGGCGTTTTGTCGAGCAGTTAGCTTCTTCACCACTTCCTCCTTGTTGTCAAATAAATAACCTACGCGCAGATCAAATCCATCAGTAAAAACGTGAGGTGATTCACTACTACCAGCAATTGCCACCTCTGAACCTGTACAAATGACCATAGTGTTCTCTTCCTCACAAGCTACACCTTCTACATAATCTGTATTTATAGACATCTCTACATCTATGGGAATATGTACAGGGTCCTCCTCGTCCACATTTTCATTTTGCCCCACATGACCAATGTAACAACTCCTCTTTAGTACTATTCTTAGAATAAGGACCATGTAAAATATAGATATGTAATAATAGAAAGATAGTGGGCTCAATTTTTTTTTTTTTACTCATCAAAAAATACTTCTTACAAATACAAATACCATGTTTAAAAACTTCTAATTACTACAAAATATTGTAGCTGGTAGACAGTAGTGCCAATACTTTCGCTCCTCGACGTCCATCCGACCGCTGCTCCTAATTCCTGCAAAAACGAGAAGAACAACGGGGTGAGCACAACAATGCTCAGTAAGTAAATCATCTACTAATCCGCAACTCATTTTTGGTTCTTTCCTTACTCGATGTTCTGCATTTCTATTCTCACTGTTTTCTCTTCTTTCTATACTGTTATTCTCCTTTAACTCTGTCTTGCTCTTTACTCTTTCTTTCTCTGTTTCTTTTTCTCTTATTCTTACTCACCATGAAGGGCAATCATGGTTTCTCTTATTCTCATCATACTACCATGAAGGAAAATCATGGTTCTCTTTCTCATTCTCGTATACTCTCACTAACATGGAAGAATTCATGGTACATACATCTAGAGGTGTACATGCAACTAATGTAAAAGAATGCATGTTCTTTCTTCTACTCTTTATTCTTACTAACTCAAACTTTCGCATTCTTTTCTATATCTCTCTCTTTCTATCTATTCTTCTAAGCTTTCTCAGCTTCTCATTCTTTATTCTTGCTATTAACTCATTCTCATTTCTTTTCTTTTTCATAACTCTTTTCTGTTAACTCTCTCTCTAGTAGTCACGGCCTCATCTTACCGGATACACGGTCGGGACTCGCTCCCGTTCTATGTGACTTCTTCTCATTCTAGCCGATCGGACTTGGTTATGCATGGATTCGGAACCCTTGGCCAGTGAGTGTATAATTCTCTCTCGGGTACTCGGGTATAGCCTCACCGCATGCACTCTCACGGCTACACCACTTCTCTATCTGATACTCATGCCGCTCTCTCAATGCGGCGTACATGCGGGAATACTCTACCCATTACTCACGGGTTCCCCATCACATAACAGTCTATGCTCTTATCTCTCTCTACTCTTTCTCATGTTTGCTCATTCTTTCTCAAGTAGTACTCATATCAAGCTACTACTCATAATGTAGCTTAACTCTTAGCTTTTTCTCATCTCTGTTCTATCTATTTCTTTTCCTTCTCTTCTTATCATGGAATGTCACGACCTCATCTGACCGGAGGCACGGCTGGGGCTACCACTCTACGTGACTTCCGCTCAATTCGCTACCGATCGGATTTAGTTATGCATGGATTCGGACCTTTGGCCATATGAGTGTACAATCTCTCTCTCTCTGAATATCACGGCCCCATCTAACCGGAGGCACGGCCGGAACCTCGTGTTCCACTCTGCGTGACGGTCACGGCCTCATCTAACCGGAGGCACGGCTGGAACCTCGTTTCCACTCTGCGTGACTCTACTCGTCACTCACAGGTTCCCCATCGCACAACTTACTCTATTTCCTCTTCAACTCTTGTGCACAAGATCTCTACCCTTCTCTAGCTACTCATCACTAGCTACTCATCTAAATGTAGCTTAACTCTTAGAGTAATTCTCTACTCTTCTCAACTTTTCTCTTTGCTATCAGAGTATTCTATTCTCTTTACTCTAAGAGTTGCTATTCTCAACATTCTCTACTCTTTCTTACTCAAGCTATTGCTTATAATATAGCTTATACTCAAAATTTTACTCTTAAGCTAGTACTCATAAGGTAGTCATACTCAACATTCTATATTCTCTCTCCAAGCTACTTCTTAATGCAAACTAATGCATATGGATGGTTCATACTCATTAATGCACTTTTGAAATGCCAAATGCAAGATTTCCTCAAAACTGATTCTGCACAGGTCACACTAAAAAGACAAACTTTCATATACACCTCTGATTACTACGGTTCTGGTCTCGTTTCAAAGCTTAGAAACAGGGCTATAACTTCTATGTTTTGGTCTCAGCCCAGTTCAATCCGTAACATGCCCAAAAATCACAGAAAGTACGGCAGTGACAGGGCAGATTTCACTTAGGCATTTCATCAAACAACTTATGTGCATATAAAAACTCTTCTCAACTACAATCTCTTCTCTTTTTAACCATCCAGAATTGGAAGTAAATTCCCTTCTATGGGCATAAACCCTATCATAGAAAAACACTCCCAAAATACATACTCAATCTCCTCAACTTCATCTCCAACTATTACTCATAAACACTCTCATAAAGGAAATATCCAACAAACATAACATAAATACTCTTCTCAACTCAATTTCTAACAAATAAACCTACATCTACTCCATTTCTCAATAAGCATATATATATCATGCATAAATAAACTCTACTTAAGAATTTCTTAAACTTTAGCTTGAGTTGGATTTACTTACCTCATACTTGAGTATCTCCACTAAAGCTCTCTACTCTTGTTGGATCATAACTTTCTCTTATTTCCTAAGCTAAACTTAGTAAGAAACAACCCTTACATGCATAAAATTCATCTTAAGTAGGGATTCTTACTCTTCTTGTTAGGATCATCTTTGTCAAATTCCAACTCAAGGCTCTCAAAATCCCTTAGAAAATTGAGTGAGAATTGAGAGAAAATGGGAGATGAAGAGGCGGTGGAAATGGGTAAAATGATGGGTTTAGAGAACTCAACCCTTATTAACTCATTAATATCCACTCTTTCCCATTTTGCCTACTCTTTCTTGAAAATTCCATCTATATCCTTTGATTCTTTACAAATACACCCCATCTAAACACAATCTCTATAAAATTTCCTTTCATTTTACTCCCCACTTTTCCTACTAATTAGGGGTAGATTGGTCATTGTGTCCCAAAGAGAATTCTCTAGAAAACTCAAGAATCTTTTCTGCGTCCCGTCGCCGCGGCGAAAAACTTCCTGTCGTCCCGGCGAAATAGTCCAGAACCAACACCACCAACACAAAATCAACGTCGCCGCGGCGAAGCTTCTCCTTCGCCCCGGCGAAGACTGAAATCCAAAATTGCTAAGTCTTGATCAATTCCAGGGTACACACTCAACCAAACCCAAAACCTAAACTCAACCAAGAACAAGAATCATATATAAACTCATTTAGGGGCAATTCAGGATTCCTTTAGGCCATACCATAAACAGTGGCTACGTTTCAAGTGGGGTATTACAATTCTCCCCCCCCCTAAAAGAATTTGTCCCCGAATTCGATGAACAACCTCCGAGTAACGATTCTACATACCTTGATTTACCTCCCATACTTTCTGGAGGGCAGTTCTTGTTTTGGGAGCTCCTTGATTCTCTTGTCCAAAATTTAGACTGGACACTCCACAAACATAGAACTCAATCTCTCCTCAATGCTCAAAACATGGGAGGGATCACTTGTATACTTTCGAAGCATCGAATATAAAACACATTATATACACTCGTCCATACTAGTGGGTAGTACAAACACCTTTCCCACTCATATAATATCTCACATGGACTTCTACCTCGGTGCTAACTTTTCTCTACTATTAAACACGTTACCCGGTCGTAGGGGAAAAAGTCTTAAAATAAAGCACTCTAACACTCACTTGAATTCAATAACTTTTCCTTCAAATCTGTCAACGTTTTATTTCCCTTGGGCTTGATCTCTTCTATTTCTGATTAACTTTATCTCTTCGATCAATCCTGAGTCATTTCTAGCCGAAGGATTATCTTTAACTCATCTTTCTTACTCACACATCTCGTATACTGGAGTTCAACATAGTCTGCCATGAAGTCTCATAAAGAGTCACTTATTTGAGACTGAACTATTAACATGGAAATCTTGTGAAATGATCTCTTTGCCTCATACTCAATTCCCTCTAAGTAAGGAGATTCATTAAACTCTTAGGGTTGGTATAAACTTACTCTGGGATCATAAAAGTAATGCCTCGAACTTCAGGGTAAAGACTACTATAACTGAGCAAGACAATTTAGAACACCCTGATGATACCCCGACCCCAATCACTCTTGGAAATACTATGTTACTCCCTAACTGGTCTAAAGATCACCGTCCATGGTAACGGGCATTTATTTCACATCGGTTACTCATTTCTTTGTCATCACTACACATTCGTATGATCCTTCTTTCTTCCTTACAAACCCTACAAACAAGATCAGAGTTCCCTAGGGAGAATGCCTCGATCGAATAGGACCTTTATTTCAGAACTCTTGAAGACACTTCTTTAATCCTTGAAGCTTGGCTAGGCCACTAGATAAGGGATTTTAGAAATCGGTGCTGTCCCCAGTGCCGTTCAACACTAAACTCAACTGCTCTTGGTAAGCCCGATAACTCATTCAGAAATACCTCTAAAAATCTAGACTACTGGCACACTCTGGATCTGGTTATGGGACATCACTAATCAGCACCAACATGAACTATTGTCCAAAATACCTTTTCTTAACATCTCTTAACGTTCACCTTACTACTCAACATACTGAATGAATGGCCCGCTGCAATTTGGAAATGATATTATGAGTGACTCTCATTCTTCCTCGGTAATCAACCTCCACTCCATCTCTCCTTTAGGGAACCGGTCAAAAACATCCAAGTAGGGCAAAGGACACTATCTAATCAATTATAACTTTACTCTCTTTCATGGATCACTACGACCTTACTGAATAAGTCTTCCTTCTCTCAAACTTCACTCTAAGCTCGAGGGGGTTCTAATTCCTCTGATTTTAGCCCATGGACCTGTCTTTTCTCAATTCTGGAGTACTCACTACTCCCAATACAAACCTTACAAGGGAGTAACTCTCATGTCTACTCTTCACTGTACTCAATCTTTACTAAAAATGATAAACTCTTGTACCATCTTAGGAACTTTGCCAACTGATCTCAACTTCAACCATCTTCTAAACTTTCTCAAATCATGACCCAACCACGTGGGTATCCTCCATTAATGCCCACAAAACTGGGCATCCCTCTAAGACAAGAGAATGGTGTACCGGATCTTTTCCCTGTCTATTATCCACTCAGCGCTAAACCATTCTTTTACTACCAACGAGTCTGTATATTTTTAAACTCTAACGGCTGATAATAACTTAGAAACCCATGAATCGACTCAATCCGATTTATACCATCTGAGGTATCGACTTTCTCTTTCTCTTCTAGTAGGTCGCACTTGGATGGGGTTTCAATCCTTTCTAATTCAACTCGGGGAAGTAAGTTTCCCTGCATCACTGCTTTCTTATTCTCAACTATACTCGGGTCTTGTATCTCATTAAAAGACAACCACATTAAACAACTCAAATAACACTTTAAGCAAGGAAAAACTTAACTGACAGCGGGCTATGGAACGTCATGGCGGCGAGAATGGCACACTGTCAAATCCCAAAACCTTTGCTCTGATACCAAAAATGTAACAACTCCTCTTAGTAATATTCTTAGAATACGTACCATGTAAAATATAGATATGTATATAATATGAAAGATAGTGGGCTCAAATTTTTTTTTTTTTACTCATCAAAAATACTTCTTTACAAATACAAAATACCATGTATTAAAAACTTTCTAATACTACAAATATGTAGCGGTAGACAGTAGTGCCAATACTTTCGCTCCTCGACGTCCATCGCGCGCTGCTCCTAATTCCTGCAAAACAGAGAAGAACAACGGGGTGAGCACAACAATGCAGTAAGTAAATCACTACTAATATCCGCAACTCATCTTTGGTTCTTCCTTACCGATGTTCTGCTATTTCTATTCTCACTGTTTTTCTCTTTTTTCTAATAATGTTATTCCCTTTAACTCTGTTCTGCTTTTACTCTTTCTTTCTCTCTGTTCTTTTTCTCTTATTCTTACTCACCAGAAGGGCAATCATGGTTCTCTCTTATTCTCATCATACTTACCAGAAGGAAAATCATGGTTCTCTTTTCTCATTCGTTATATCTCACTAACCATGGAAGAATTCATGGTACATACATCTATGAGGTGTACATGCAACTAATGTAAAAGAACTGCATGTTTCTTCTTCTACTCTTTATTCTTACTAACTCAAACTTTCGCATTCTTTCTCATATTTCCTCTCTTTCTATCTATTCTTTCTCAAGATTTCTCAAGCTTCTCATTTTTAATTCTTGCTATTAATCCTTTCATTTCTGTTTCTCTTTCTCATAATCTCTTTCTGTTAACTCTCTCTCTAGTAGTCACGGCCTCATTTCCGGATACACGGTCGGGACTGCTCCCGTTCTATGTGACTTCTTCTCATTCTAGCCGATCGGACTTGGTATGCATGGATTCGGAACCCTTGGCCACGTGAGTGTATAATCTCTCTCTCGGGTACTGGGTATAGCCCTCATCCGCATGCCCTCTCACGGGCTCACACATTCTCTACTGATACTCATGCCGCTCTCTCAATGCGGCGTACATGCGGGATACTCTACCCATATACTCACGGGTTCCCCATCACATAACCTAGTCTTATGCTCTTATCTCTCTCTACTCTTTCTCATGTTTGCTCATCTCTTTCTCAAGCTGTACTCATACTCAAGCTACTATCATAATTGAGCTAACTCTTAGCTTTTTTCATCTCTGTTCTATCTATTTCTTTCCTTCTCATTCTTACTCATTGGAATGTCACGACCTCATTGACCGGAGGCACGGCTGGGCGTACCATTACGTGAATTCCGCTCAATTCGCTACCGATCGGATTTAGTTATGATGGATTCGGAACCTTGGCCATATGAGTGTACAATCTTCTCTCTCGAATATCACGCCCATCTAACGGAGGCACGGCTGGAACTCGTGTTCCACTCTGCGTGACGGTCACGGCCTCATCTAACCGGAGGCACGGCTGGAACCTCGTGTTCCACTCTGCGTGACTCTACTCGTCACTCACAGGTTCCCATCGCACAACTTACCTATTCTCCTCTTCAACTCTTGTGCACAAGATCTCTACCTTTCTCTAGCTACTCATCACTAGCTACTATCAAATGTAGCTTAACTCTTAGAGTAATTCTCTACTCTTTCTAACTTTCTTTTGCTATCAGAGTATTCTCATTCTCTTTACTCTTAAGAGTTGCTATTCTCAACATTCTCTACTTTTCTTACTCAAGCTATTGCTTATAATAGCTTATACTCAAAATTTTCTACTCTAAGCTAGTACTCATAAGGTAGCTCATACTAACATTCTCTATATCTCTCTCAAGCTACTTCTTAATGCCCAACTAATGCATATGGATGGTTCATACTCATTAATGCACTTTGAAATGCCAAATGCAAGATTTCCTCAAAACTGTCATTCTGCAAAGGTCACACAAAAAAGACCATAACTTTCATTATACACCCTCTGATTACTACGGTTCTGGTCTCGTTCAAAGCTTAGAAACAGGGCTATACTTCTATGTTTTGGTCTAGCCCAGTTCAATCCGTAACATGCCCAAAAATCACTTAGAAAGTACGGCAGTGACAGGGAGATTTCACTTAGGCATTTCATCAAACAACTTATGTGCATATAAAACTCTTCTCTAACTACAATCTCCTTCTCTTTTTAACCATCCAGATGGAAGTATTCCCTTTATGGGCATAAACCCTATCAGAAAAACACTCCCAAAATACATACTAATCTCCTCAACTTCATCTCAAACTATTACTCATAAACACTCTCCATAAAGAATATCCAAACAACATAACATAAATACTCTCTCAACTCAATTTCCAACAAATAAACATACATCTCTACTCCATTTCTCAATAAGCATCTATAACATGCATAAATAAATCTCTACTTAAGAATTTCTTAAACTTTAGCTTGAGTTGGATTACTTACCTCATACTTGAGTAGTTCTCACTAAAGCTCTCTACTCTTGTGGATCATAACTTTCTTTATTTCCTAAGCATAAACTTAGTAAGAACTTAACCCTTACATGCATAAAATTCATCTTAAAGTAGGGATTCTTACCTCTTCTTGCTTAGGATCACTTCTTTGGCAAATTCCAACTCAAGGCTCTCAAAAATCCCTTGAAAATTGAGTGAGAAATGAGAGAAAATGGGAGATGAAGAGGCGGTGGAATAGGTAAAATGAATGGGTTTAGAGAACTCAACCCTTATTAACTCATATAATATCCACCCTTCCCATTTGCCCTTACTCTTTCTTGAAAATTCCATATATCCTTTGATTCTTTACAAATACACCCCCATCTAAACACAATCTCTATAAAATTTCCTTTCATTTTCCCCACTTTTCCTACTAATTAGGGGTAGATTGGTCATTGTGTCCCAAAAGAGATTCTCTAGAAAACTCAAGATCTTTTCTGCCGTCCCGTCGCGCGGGCGAAAAACTTCCTGTCGCCCGGCGAAATAGTCCAGAACCAACACCACCAACACAAAATCACACGTCGCCGCGGCGAAGCTTCTCCTCGCCCCGGCGAAGACTGGAAATTCCAAAATTTGCTAAGTCTGATCAATTCAAGGGTCCACACTCAACCAAACCCAAAACCTAAACTCAACCAAAGAACATGAATCATATATAAACTCATTTAGGGGCAATTCAGGATTCCTTTAGGCCATACCATAAACAGTGGCTACGTATTTCAAGTGGGGTATTACAACCAACCTCTTCTACAGTGTCCTCCTCACCACTCAAATCACCGCCTACTCTTGATTTTTCAATGAAGAAATGAATGTCCTCATAATTGAAATTAAAACCAACATTCTCCCCACCCAAATCACCGCTTACTCTTGAACCAACTTCCAAAGTTTTATCCACTATCGAAACCGTTAAAATTGGCCTCGAACCATTATCGCCCACATCAAGCATAAATAACTTCACATCTTCATCAGACATTAATACAACAGGGGTACCTTAAATTTTGTAGGAGCTCTGCTTAAAATATACTTCACAACTATATCACTATGTGAGCAACTCAACCCACCTCTTCTAATGATTTCATCAATCAACTCATCAAAACTAACTTCTGTACTCACAATAATTGTTTTAACTTGTTTGCTCTTCCAATCCACTTCCAGCAACTTTCTTCCTCCGCCCACTCACCAAAATATTCAACACCCAAAACCACTTGTCCCATGTCTAATAATAGCCAAGTGCCTATAATGCAAGAAAATGAAAATTATTAACCAATATATTAAGGGTCGACAGATTTTAAAAAGCACCTCTAGAGTCACTTAAGCAATGTGGTGTATCGTTTAAGCAATCCGGTATATCGCCTACTGGATCACTTAAGCAATCAAGTATATCGCTTAAGCAATCTAGTATAAATAAGCTTGATCACTTAAGCGATCTTATGCTATATACTTATGCTATATACTTGATTGCTTAAGTGATTTGCTGCCATATACCAGACTTATAGCAGATCATTTAAGCGGTCTTCTATCATATACTTGATCGCTTAAGCCATCTGCCATCTGTTGCATTATACCAGACTACCAGATCACTTAAGCGATACAATAAATCACTTAAGCGATACAATAAATCACTTAAGCGATACAATAAATCGCTTAAGCGATCCATCAGATCTAGAACACATTTTTCAGTCATCTCTACCTACAATCGGTGCTACCACCCCTAGCCACCCACAATGCAAGAAAATATTCAACAAATTTCACTCCTTTCAACTTGCATTACATCAAACACAATCCAATAACCTAAACAACTAAATCAAAATCATAACCCAAACCCAATCCATCATTAAATCTTTGTAAATCAAAATTTAAAATGCAAAGAGGAGATACACATGCTTGGACGAAATGTTAGGAGGAGGAGGAGGAAGAGGAGGCGAAACTTTGGCAAAGAAGATGTTAATGGCGGAGGAAGGAGAAGATGTAGACGAAGCTTAGAGGAAACAGCAACCAGGGGAGGTGCGTTAATGGCGGGAGGAAGAAGAAAAATGTGTTCGGGTTTGTTTGCAAGAATTTTGGCTTTTTGGGGACATATAATAATTTTTAAAAGATTACACAATACTTCGTTAATCTCAATTAACCACTAATCATGTTTAATTAACCTTAATCAATAATAAAGCTATTTACTTAACACTTTAAAACTGCATGGCCTTTTAATTAAATTTGAACTTGATTTGGTCTTTTAATAAAATGCCCCAATGAGATGTGGAAAACTTCTTGCCTTTTGCCTTCTGGATTTATTTGATGATGTTAAATGGCATCTTGCATCTCTAGGTTTTAAGTTGATATTTGCTTAAGAGAAAACATCAATAATGTAAAAGGTGAGTTGCTGAGCATCTTTTAGAAACATTTTCTCGATCTTGTCCTTTCAAGTTCACTTTCTCACTTCATATTCATACCACAAAACCTTGTCTCCAATAATTATTCAGCAAAAGTTAATCTTCACTAGAAAACACTTAGTACAGTAAAGTGTCTACCCCAAAAAAACCTTTTGTACTTGTATTCATTGTTTTAAAAGCTGGACCAGAGGGCAACCCGCTCTGCTGCCCAGGTCACGGTTCAACCAGTCCAACCACTTGGACCGCCGGTTGGACTGGTGACGTCATCACACACCATGATGATGTCAGCATATTTTTAAAAAAACCTCTTTTTTTTTTTTTTTTTTTTTTTTTTTTTTAAGACAATTACAACTTAATTACTGCCCAACATGATTCAAAGTTCAAATTCAACAACAATCCCAACATAATTTAAGTATTTAACAACAATCCAAAGTCTAAATCCAAACATGATGTTGTATATGACAAAATACATAATAAGTAAGAATATAATTCCCATATCAGAAGCCACTGAACAGAAAGGTAATCAAATTATAATTTGATGATGAAATTTCTGAATCAAGGTCAGAGAGTATAACCAAAATATGGCAGGGACAACATTCCAAAATCAAATATACTCGTAAGGTGGGATTTACAATAGAAAGAATAATGATTTAATTCAATAAAATGTATGAACAATTAAAATACAACACTTCAGCATACACACGGGATTGGGAAAATCATGTTGACAAAAATTGTTGGTTTACAGTTTACACACTAAATTTTATCTGCACCTTTGCCGTGAAAAACTAGGGGATCCTATTGGTTGTGCACCTCTGTAATTTCTACTAGGAGAATCCATTGCTCTGTAGGGTCTGCTTGAGGCATCCATTGAACCTCAGAAGGATGTGTGTAAGGCTTTAGCTAATTCTGGCAAAGAGTCCATCGGAATCGACACCACGAAGCATGCAACCAAGAACTAGAATACACAAACCTCAGCTACTTAATATGGAAACCATAAATCATCAGAACAAACGATATGAACATGATCAAGTCTCGAATGAACACAAAAACCAGATCTTGATAACAAAAATCATAGCTTTTTGACCAGACCAAGCACTGATCCAAAGCAACAACGTAAACCCAGATACATAAAGCAAGATCACAAGGTAAAAGAGTGAGAACCCATCAAGAAAAACACAAGAAAACTAAAAAAAAGGGTACCCAATTTTAGGATCAAAACTGCAAGAGCCTTGCCTTTTCAATTTATTTGCTTTTCCAGTGAAAAAGAGAGCTCTTTGATAGCTGAATTGTATATAGGTTTCAGTAGAATAAAATATCATTCTATCAATACAGAATTGACAAAATTGCTCATCCACAAATTATATAGCTGATTCACACCACTTTTCTGCTAATTTGAAACATAATCTTTCCTAAGATATAATAGGACACATGAATTCAAAAAATACATGCACATACACATTGCTCCAGATAAAGTTTGCAACGAAATCATTATTGAAGCTGGATCAAGGAATGGCGTGTTTATTATCTGGATCGAGGAATGGAGTTGTCGGCAACGAATGGAGCTGTTGCCGTCGATTTCTAGCGAGGAACGGAGCTGTCATCGTCGATTTTCGGCGAGGAAGGGAGACGTCGTCGATTTCTGGACCAGCCAGTCCGGTCTGGTTTTTAAAACAGTGCTTGTATTCAATATAAATATATTATAATCCAAATTCTTTTGTTTTTGATTATAGACTTATCAAAACAGATTTTTTAAATATCCAAACCCATCTAAGTACAAATCGTTCATCTTGAGTACATATTATATGTTTTGTATCTAAATCGTAAGAATGTACCTATCTAATTGAGACTTTGAGTAACCAAAACACATCCAGTTTAACTGAGAAGATCCTAAATACATATTATCAGCCTTTGGTCTAACCAACACAGATTTGCTATGTTTTTCACCCAAAAAGTGTCTGCTAAATTGAAGGAAACCAAGACTTATAAACTCACATAGACTTTCTATGCTAGGGATACCAGTGTGTCAAATCTTATTAAAATTAAAATAAGAGTATATAACTTAGTCATAAGTGTCACAGTTTCAAATTTTCAAGGAAGTCAGCCAGTGTGGGACACGTTAGTTATAAGTCTATGGCGTGCATCATGATGCATAGACCAGGTCTGGACCTCTGAATTTATATCCTTTTTATTCTCTTCATTTTGCTCCTTGTTACCAGGAAACAGGCAAATATAATGGAGTGGAGCACCCTGGAAATCAAAGTTATTTCCTGCACTGATCTCAAAACCTTTAACTTCTTCCAGAAGCTATCTGTGTATGCAGTAGTCTCCATTGCCGACGGCGAATTGAAGAAGAAAGAGCAGCAGCAGAAGTGTCTGCAGCGCCAAAAGACTCCCATAGACAGAGAGGGAGGTTCACATCCTGAGTGGAATCACCTGTTGCAATTCAATCTCAGAGCTCTTGGTGATGATTTCAGCCATCTTTTTGTCAGCTTTGATTTGAATTGTGAAGGTGTTGTTTATGGCAACAAAACTATTGGGAAAGTTCGAGTTCCGTTGCAGGATTTGATCGATGAATTCAATGGAGCGCTGAGGTTTGTCAGGTATCAAGTTCGCAGCGGCGATGGAAAGCCTAATGGGGTTCTGAATTTTTCTTATAAAGTTAATGGGAAGAAGATCGTTGAGAAGGGTATTACAACTTCTCCTGAAGTAAATCTACCAACAAAAGTTGCTCATACTTCTGCAAAAGTTCAGTACCCTTCACTGGAATACGATGAGAAGTCGCAGAAAGTTTGTTATCCTTCTCTGGATTATGTTCAGGTTCAATCTCCTTTACCAGGCTATTGTTCACCTTTGCCAAAGTATGAGTATAGATCAACAACAGAAGTTTATGGTACGACTCAACCATCACCGCTGGTATTATCACCAAGACAACAACTTATGCATCCTGTTATGATGTCAAATGGGTCATTTTGTCATCCATACATACAAACTCCGGGACCATGGTACATGTTGGAGTCAACTTATGGTTATAATGTGTATGGTGGTTCTGGAATTGGGCATTAGGCAGGGTTGATTTTGAAACATGGAAGCTCTGACCAGGTCCAAAACACAGAGCTTCCAAATCTCTGGTTTATGTGGATTTAAAAGCAGTAGCAGGCGAACTTTAAGTCAGATACTATGGGCTAATAGTAGTTAGGAATATGTTATATTATTTGGATAGCTCTAATGGTTCATACAAGAGTAGCGTTACTCGAGGATAATACAGATGAATCCTAGCAGTGATTGAGTTGTGTAGTTTGCAGTGCCATGAAAATATGAGTTAGCATTATAGCTTGGAAATCTCTGTTTCAATTGATACTATGTTTACGTTTTGTTTATTCTGTAACAATGTATCACTTTATTAGTTCACTATTATGGATTCTAATGACATGAGAGAAGGGTTAGTTGTATTGTTTGTAAAAGCTCATATGAGAAGATTATTCGAATTCGTTTTTGCTTTTAACTTAACGAGTAATGCTATGCTTATTCATGATCTTATTAACCATCTTACTATTCTTTGTAAATATAACGCATAGTACGAGTATCATACACATAATACGGATACTATATGTAATTTTAACAAAGATAATAAGGTGGTTAATAAGCTCATGAGTAAACATAACATTATTGTTAACTTAAATAAAAAATATTCCAAGAATAAACCCATAAATTAATTAAAATTTTGTTAGTGAAAAAATTGTATAAATGGTTGTCAAGGTCAGTCGACCTCACGGGAGACTTTGAATTGGGGGCCAAATCAAGACAAGGACTCATTGATGTTGCTGCGGGCCAAATCAAGACAAGGATTCATTGATGCTGCCTTCACTTAACCATAACAACTTGAAGAAATTTTTGTTTTTACAAGTTAATAATCTTACTAATTCAACGATGTAATTAATCCCCATTTTCTATTTTTTTTTTTCTAGAGTTTTGACGCAATTTCTATTTGATATAGGTGAAGACTAATTTGTTGGACTAAATCTCCAGTAATATTATATATAGGGTCAAGATGTGATTTAATTTTTAACTTAATGTTTTGCGCTCTTTATAATTCGTTTATTATTGATGATTCAATAGTGATAAGAATGTATAAAGAGAGTATTTAAATCATATAATGTTTTATTATATGGATATATTATATTAACGAAAAGAAAAATCACTTTGAAGATTACGGGAATGTTTAGAAAATGTGTTTGGTTAGTTCGAATAAATTGGTGAATAATATGTTTGGCTAGAAGGATAAATGGGTGGGTATGTTATATAGATTACTAAATTACCCTTACTTTTAAATATTAATATAATAATATTTATTATTATTATTTTTTGAATCGTTTCTTTTAATCCCATACATTTGAAATTTTGCTAAAACACCCCAGCCATATAAAACTTTAATTTATGGCAAAATCACCCCTATCCACCCGAAGCCACTACCGACAGCTAGCGACCACCGCCGATAGTTGACGAAATGGCGCACGACTAGCCGTATATGGCCGGCTGTGCGTTGGCAAAGCGAAAAATGGCCAGATCTATGGCCATTTCACGATCAAAGATGTGGCCGTGAAACAGCCACAAATCTGACCATGAAAAGGCCAGATCTTTGGCCGTGCCATTTCACGGTCAAATCTGTGGCTGTTTCACGGCCACATCTTTGGTCGTGAAGCAGCCATATAAACACTAGATCTGGTCGTTTCCAGACATGGATCCATGGCTTAAAAAGGCCTTATCGACACACGACTAGCTAGATCCCGTCAATCGTGCACCGTTACGGCTACTGATACCGGCGATTGACGGTAGTCAGTCATGGACGACGGTGGTCTTGGGTGGCTGAGGGTATTTTGTTAACTTTTAAACTTTTTTTGTGGCTAGGGTGTTTTAGCAAATTTCTCAAATTTAGGAAGGCTGGGTAATTGTTATTTGGTAGACATTTAAGGGTAATTGTGTTCGAAATGGTTTTTAATTAAGGGCAAAATGGGTAGAAAAATTAGATAACCTTGATAATGTTTTAATAACAGCCCCTAAATGGGTAATAAGATTACCCCCCACATTACCAACAGTAAAAACTATTTGCAATAAAAAGATTATCGTAATATTTTATTACTTGCAAACCAAGCACAGAAATCTTGCAAAATAAACGAAGATTACCCCTGTTATCTTATATACCCTCTATCCAAACAGCCCTAAAGAGAAAAAAAAAAAATTTACCTTACATAATTAGGAGTGCTTAGCGAACCGAGCCGCTCACGAGCCTGCTCGGCTTGAGTTTGGCTCGTTAATGGCTCAATTTGTCTGATAACTAGCCTGCTCGGCTCGTTAGGCTCGCGAGTCGAGGCTGGCTCGAAAAACTGGGGGGTTTTTTGAGGTTTTCTGAAGTAATGGGATTAATTAAAAATTATGAAACACAAGTTTTAAAAAATAACAAAATGGCCCCTGTTATTAAAATCCCTAAATCGTCGATTTTCATGACAGATGAACACTTGTCGTAAAACTCATCCCAAAGTCACGATTTTCGTCGTCGTCATTAGCACAACTTCCAGTCGGATTTTTGTCATTAGATACCATCTTCTTCGTCGGATTTTCATCGCATTTCTTTGCATTTCTCTGTTCGCCGTGAAAGGGATATGCGACGCTGTCGACAGTGGGAGAGATTATATAAAGCACAGGGTGTATTCATTTACAACTAGTTGACACTTGGCCACGATTCATTGTCTTTTCTCTGTTCGCTGTAAAAGCCATCCACGACGCCATCGACCATCGATTTCTCGGGGTAAGGTTGTTTGTTTTGGCTTTGTTCTTCAGCTGTTGTTGCTTATGAAACCCATTTGTGATTGATTTTTGTGAACAATGTCAATGGAATTTTAAGCTAGTTTTTCGTGAATTGTTTGTCTGTAACAGGGGTCTTTTTCTGGTGAAACAATTCAGGGAAGAGCAGTCTGCCGTGTTGTGGTCATTGACTGTCATGGTGTTGCTGTGAAACCCATACAAGAATTGTTGAGCCCTTGATCTGGTATCCTGGATTCCTGGTTAATGTTTGCGTACTGTCTGTGAAGAGCAGTCTGCCATGTAGGCTAGTCTGTTTCATTGTTTGTTTAAATTGCTTTACTTAATTTGTTATTGTTTGTGGTTGTGGTTGTGTTGTGGACTTGTGGGACAAAATTGAAATTGCAAAGGAGTTTGTTAATTTGTTTGTGGACTATGGTTGTGGTTGTGGCTATGGACTTCTACTTGTGGGGATTTGTTTTACAGTAGATAGCAGAAGGGCAATTTATAAATTTGTTTGTGGTTGTGGTTCTGCATTTGGTGGTGGGGACTGGGGGCTTTGTTATGTATTAAATTGCAAAAGGGTAAAGGGCAATGTAATGTAAAATGGCAAAAGGGTAAAGGCAGTGTAATGTAAAATGGCAAAAGGGTAAATGACAGTGTAATGTGAAATGGCCAAAGGGTAAAGGGCAGTGTAATGTAAAATGGCGAAAGGGTAAATGGCAGTGTAATGTAAAATGGCAAAAGTGTAAAGGGCAGTGTAATGTAAAATGGCAAAAGGGTAAAGGGCATTTGAATTGACATGTATATAGTATTGATTAATTATATTAATCTATAAGGCATGCCTTCGTTAAGCACTCGTAGAAATCACAGGGATATCTTTTTTTTTTTTTATTATTATTATTATTATTATTATTATTATTATTATTATTATTATTCATTTAATTGAGTTTTGTTTCTTAATTTTCTATCAATTATCAGCATAATATCATGGATGATAATGTTTAGAATGAAAAAGAAAGTTTTCTAGTGCTCTGGGAAAGTGTTCGAAAGGATAGTTTGAAAAGTATAACTATAAAATATAAAATTATTTGGCATATTAGGGGGAGAAATCTTGGACTAAAAAGTTGGAAAGAGATTTATAAATATGATGGTTTATAAATCTCTTTCCAACTAACTTAGGTTTATAAATCTCTAAAGAATCTTTTCAAAAGTGGGTCTAGTAATCATGTTAGTCCTCCTTAGACTAAACAGAGTTGAGGAATTAAAATTGCTGAATGGTAAAAACGATGAACACGAGAAATTAATTATAATTAGAGCTACCTTTTAATGAAAGAAAGTCATATTGCTCAAATTGATGCCCTTGTATTTAAGCAAGTGAAACTCATTAACTTTACTTGAAGTCAAACTAAGTTAGTTGAGTTCTACCTCTTAGTCTAGCTTTTGTGACTAAATTCTCCCATATGATTTATTGTTTTTTGTAGTATTTTGATCCACAATTATCCACAATTATGACTTACTGGTTTTTTTTTTTTTTTTTTTTTTTTCATTTATAGGTTTGTAAATGGAGGTACTTCCTCAAGCACCCCTACAATACAAGATACAATTACCATACACTAGGCGGTAACCTTAACTTGAATGCAACCACAACAAATACGAAGCAAAGTATTAGTAGCCCGAATAATGGTGATGAGAATGAAAATCCAATTCATAAGAAAAAAAGAGCGAAGACATCAGTGGTATGGATGGAGTTCAAGGAGGTAGTACTCCCTAATGGTACCAAAAAGGCATAGTGTATTCATTGCAAAGTAAAGTTGTGTATTAATCCCACCGAAAGCATCACCCATTTAATAGACATTTAAACCTGTGTTTAAGGAGAAAATCTTCCATGAGACAACAACATATTAGTTTTTCGAGTGTCAGTAATTATGTTGCAACTACTATTTTGCCAGTTTTAAGTGGGAAGTTTGACATGTTAAAAATGAGGGAACTTATCGCCCATTGGGTGCTCATGCATGAGCATCCATTTACAGTTGTGGAGGAAGAGAGCTTGAACAATATGATGAAGTATGAGATTCTTGGATGGACTCTGGTTTCTCACCATACTTGTAAAAAAGATTGTATGAAGGTATATAAAAGTGAGAAGGTCAAATTGAAGACTTTGTTGAAGAGTATGACAAAAATCAGTTTGACTACAGACTTATGGAATTCAGGGAATCAAAAGATGGAGTATATGGTGTTGACCGGGCATTGGATAGATAGTACTTGGAGGCTGAATAAACGTATCCTCAACTTTGTTCATCTACCTCTTCCCCGGACTGGTATTGCGATTGCGGACGGCATTTTCAAGTGCCTAATGAATGGGGAATTGAAAATAAGGTATATACTATTTCTGTCGATAATGTTTCAAGTAATGATGTTGCGATTAATGTTTTGAGGGAAAATTTTGAAGTTTTGGGAAAACTCCTTTGTGGAGGTAAACTGTTTCATGTAAGATGTTGGCACACATCTTGAACCTAATTGTTCAAGATGGACTTTATCAAATTAGGCACATCATTGACGACATCCATGAGAGTGTGTTATATATCAACAGTTCAGAAAGTAGGCTTAAGGTATTTTCTGAGATTGTTCAACAACTTAAATTGCCATATTGGAAACTTATTCTCCATTGTA